AAACTCCCTCTGGAGGGAACACAGGGATTTTAGCCTTTGCAGACCATTTACATGCATGAAAACCTATATAAAGGGGCCTACACACCAAACTGACACCAAAGAACACGTCCCGATGGAACACGACTGTTGTGTCGCCTCATGTCTCCTGCGTCTTGGCCAACAGTCGCACTGGAACACACCGCAAAGACTTCAGCCGACGGCCAAGAAGCTCATGGGGCTTTCCCGAACCTGTGTCGAGAGCTGGAGTTAAATGAAATCTCAGATCTGCCTTCTTAATCGTTTGTTTGGGTCCCTCACTTCCGTTTCGCTTCTCATGCACTGATTCGCTAAGCTGAACAGCCAATCGGAGTGATTTCTTTGGCCGACTGCCTTTAGCCATCTGCCTCCCGATTCAACATGTTGAATCGGCGGCGGAAGGTGTCGGCATGGCCGAAAAGACTCAACGGTGCAGGACACACCAATCTGAGTAAGGCGACAGGACGCTCATCGACGGCCCGACATCTATCGACGATCAAAATCGGGTTGGTGTGTCCAGGCCATAGCACACTAAGAAAGGGAAAATCCCAAAAAGCATAATCGAGCCTCTTTAAACTAAAACAGAAATGTAAGGGTGCGTTCACACCAGCCTTGTATAGTCCGGTTGAATCGAACCCTGGTGCGTTTACCCGCTTGGTGCGGTTCGTTTGGGTCGGTGTGAACGCAGTCCGAGACCTCTGAAGTGAACTAAATAACCGGACTCTGGTCCGCTAAAAGAGGTGGTCTCGGACCGCTTGCAAGTGAACTCTGGAGCGGTTCATCGCTGGCGTGAACGCAGTCCGCACCAAAACATAGGAAGCGTAGTATTTACGAGTCACAAGAACGCGGATGTCTTCCAAATCTTTAGCGAAAGAGTCTTTCAAGACATCCGCGGTTGTTTAGTTAAAGAGTGAAGCAGAATGAAGAGTTGAACAGTGTCGTGTAAAGTAAAAATGCTCCGTCAACTACATAATGTCAGAGCCACCTGCCGTCGGTGAAACCCCCTCCTGACTGCAGAACGTCTCTCATTATGTGTTTTATAATGTTTTTTAACGGACGTTGTCTGATTATATAATCATATGCGATGATCTCCAGATTAACAGCAGCATGGAAATAACCTGCCGATGCTCCATGGCGGAGGCTCCGGTAGAAATGGCCGGGATTTGCGCTGTACCTGTTGAGGCTAAGTTCAGGACCTACAATGGCAGAGATGGATTCAGTCTTTTAACAAAGTTTAATAAAGGAAAAAAGGAGCAACTAAAAAACAATCCACAAAATGAAGGTGGATCTAGTTCACGCCGGTGGCGGCGGCAGGACTCAGGCTGGCTCGAGCAGACACTGGAAAAACAGAGGAAAAAACAAGGTTACTCTTCAACAAAAACAGCAAGAGAAAATCACACTAAGCTAGGATACTATGACGTTCAGCTCTACCGAGTGAGACGGAATTATCTGGCACTGGACTGTGAACATGGAGGAGTTGATTAGATGAGTACAGGTGCTCCTCATTGTGAACCAGCTGAGCCTTCTAACGATCACCACACTGCACAGGAGAGAGAGAAGACAGAGGGGAGGAGAAAGCAAAACACCTAAACCATAACAGTACCCCCTTAATGTCTGACCAACAGCATTTCCATGCACATGACTTGTGTTTAACAAACCGAACCTTCTGAAAAATGAAACAATGTAACAAACTGGTGCGCACCTGAGAAGTGACTATTAGGTGTGAATGCGACCTTAAGACTCTGCTTTGACTGAAATGTACCATAAGATATGAAAATAGACCCTTAGTTGATCACAAGCCACTGTTTAAAAGTACAAAAGGCTTGTTTTAATAATAAATGCTGTTTTCATGAGTTTTCACCGGAGAGGACAAAGCTGCTCTCCTGTTTCACTCTGGAGAGACTGTACAGTTAGACGGATCCTCCTATAGTCTTTTAAAAACTCATTGGTATTCCTCTCTACCTGTTATTACTCCCCTTCCTCTAATCTGAAATGACTTCAGTCGTAGAAATGAGCTTTCGGGGCGCAGAGAAGCAGTTTGTTAAACCAAAGCAAACACACCCAACAACAAATGGTGCTTATTTATTCATAGAAGAACCCTCATTTCCATATAAATATATGTGACCTATGGGAGGCTTGTTTGTTGTTTGGATTCACTCAGAGAAAGCAAACAAAAATCTAATTTCTCAACAGTGTTTTCTCTCACAGACAAAGCATGCGGCCATTATTTCACCTTGTTGGATTTTCTTTCATCGTTTCAATATCTGATTTTGCTGCTATCTCAGATAACGGTGTGTGTGTGTGTGTGTGTTGAAGTGTGTGTTTGTGAGGACTTTCATAATACATATTGACTCCCAGATGTCATTGAGTGTCCACTTAGCTTGCCGCTGCATCTTTCAGGTGGAGCTTTTTCTTGACACAACACACTAAAGTGTTCTCTTCTCTTGTAGATATAGATGTGTTTTCTTTCCCTTTCTCTAAAACAGAACTCAAGCGATGAATAATAAGTTGTTTATTGAGTTATCGGGCCCAGCGGCTGCAGCATAATTGTCCTTATCACGGGGGAGCTCACGGCTTCTCACATCCAAGGCTACGTTTTTATGTTACGCAACTTCAGAATTAGGGAAAGTGTCGTGGGATCTGCTGTTTCTTTTATAGATGAGGAGCCAAATAGGCAGATAAGGAGCAGGGAAATTATTTTTTACTTCAAGGGGCCCTATTATACTCATTTTAGGTTCATATTTGTATGTAGTGTCTCTACTGGGACGTGTCTCCATGCTTTAATTTTCAAACGCTCTTTATTTGTCTCATACTGCCTGTGCTGCAGCACCTCTTTTCACCCTCTGTCTGAAACCAGAGCCCAGTCTGCTCTGATTGGTTAGCTGGCCGTCTCTGTTGCGATTGGTCAACCGCTTAGAGATGTCCCGTCCCTTAGCCAATCACGTACAAACCTATATAACACACAACAGGAAAGGGAAAACCCACAAAAAGCATAATGGGGCAAAATGAAATGCCAATAGTAAGCAGCACTGCAGCAGTAATCTGATTACTTCTTTTGTATCCTGATGACATAATCCTGTGTGTGTGTGTGTGTGTGTGTGTGTGTGTGTGTGTGTGTGTGTGTGTGTGTGTGTGTGTGTGTGTGTGTGTGTGTGTGTGTGTGTGTGTGTGTGTGTGTGTGTGTGTTGACGGCCACATCTGTCACGCTGAGCACCTCGTCGCAACCCAATTAAAGATGAGAATCCATCCGGCATGCAGATTGATACTTCAGGCTGCGACTAATGATTATTTTAATTAGAGCTGCTCTAATCGATATTTTCATATTAACAAAGGAGCAAATGAGGGTGTGGGATGTGAGAGGAATGGCTCACAGTGACAGGTCTCATCTCGCCAGACCTGTGTCTTTTAGCTCTTAATTTTGGTTTTATAGCCCCCAAACTTTATTGCTTTCATCAACTCGGCCTATAAATCAGATCTTGCTCCACTCAACATAGCCTACAGCCTATGCAGATTTGTTCTTGGTTGTCCTTTTCGTACACATCACTGCACAATGTGTAACCAACTTAAATGGCCTTCTTTAAATGTAAGAAGACACACGCATTGGCTTCGGCTGATATTTAAATGCATTTATCTGAACTATCCCCCTTATTTAAAGCAGTATTTTGTACCCTACTCGTCAATTCATCAAGTTAGACATTCTGTTCAGATTTATTTCTCTGTCCCCTCTGCAAAAAAATGGATTGGCAGAAGAGCGTTCATTTTCAAAGCCCCAACTGACTGGAATACTTTACCTGCTGCTATTAGATCTCTTGCATCATTGGGTTTATTTAAACATGCATTATCATCTCACTTTCAACTGGTCTGTACTTATTGTTGTGGAATATTTTCCAAGGCCCATAACTTTGACCCAGTGTATCAGTTCAAACTGTCCTGACTGAGCACAGGCACCTGTAACCTTGGCTGCTGTGCTCTCAGTGTTTTGTCTCCCTGTTCCTGCCTGTTGGCGTCAGCTGATAGAGGTGTTATGATTCTATCTTGTTATGCAGCATGTTGATGATGCTCTCTGAACTAGCTAAATACATGGGTCTGGGGTAGAGTTCTTCAGATTTGACGTGGCAACTCTACCGTGAAGTCAGAACCTCTGACTCTTGGACTTGTGATGTGAATCCTCCGGCCGTTAACTCCAAATAAACCATCATGTGTTTGACATCAAAGCTACTGCTCCTACCGTGTCTCCTTCCTGAGTCGGTGACTCCCACTGCATAGCTACACAGAAGTTTCCTCTACACTTATTATAACTGATATTGATGAAACTGATTTGCTCGACTGTCTCAAATTGTAATGATTGTGTGCATTGCTTGAATTTCACTTAACAGACTGTATGTGGTTTGTCTTGTGTGTCATGTTTTGCATTTTGTCTTTTGTTTATGTATGTCTGTAAGTTGTTGCTATTGTCGGGACCCCCTTGAAAACGAGATGGTGCATCTCAAGGGGTTTATCCCAATCAATAAAAATGTCTATATGTAAAAGCAAAACAATAATACCAGCTCATCTCCAAACGACCCAAAGACTAAGTGTGTAGATGTAAAATCATACATAGGATAAAAGAGGCCCTGATTAATTACTGTACAAGTCACCAAACCTTTATTTAAAAAGTGAAGAGAGAAGATAACAAGCACAACATCACTTATGGAGGGTCAACATGATCAGATATGAAATAGAGTGCACAATATACACGATGACATACATATGAGATAATAAGTAAAAACTGACAATTATTTTATGATCTATAATAAGCTGAGTTTTACCGAAGACACAGTTGAAATCTTAGCAGTGCAGCTTCTTCATAACGTTGGAAACATATTCTTACATTAAATGAGAAACAGAACAGCTTCAAACTAACGTTGCCTTTTAGTCAGTGGTTTACTGTTGAGTTATAACACTTTGAATGACCAGCTTTCCTGTTCATCTCTGATTTCCTGCAGAGATCTTGAGGCTCATGTGGAAGTCCGTGGAGAAGATGAGGTGCTTCAGGAAACGCTCCATGTTCCCCTTCCTCGGCTTCCTCATCACCTTCCTCCTCTTCTTCAACCTCTACATGGACGATGGATACGTGCTGGTGAGATTCATCCGCATTTTCTTTATGCTTATTGTACCATTTTTCATTCCGTCATTCGAGGCATTTTTTTTCTCAAGCCACTTTATATTCTACTACATTACATTTAAGACTGTTTTCACATTTTCACATTTCCAATAATGTTGAGTTAGACTGTTGTTTAAACCAATTAAACCCCATGGAAACCCGCAGGCGGGGGCAAAACGCAACATCTAGCAAGAAACAGCGTCTGAGGGTTTCTTAATATTTAACGAACTATGAATGTGTCATACCCAGTTAACGGGAAGAAACTCAGCTTTCAGACAACAAAAGGGTAATAACAAAGGCTCTGAATTAGCCCTGAGCAAAAAAATGCTAACGCACTTAGCACAGAACTCACGGTAAAATACCCTTATTACGTATCGGATCTGCACAAACAAGATATCAATTAGCAAGCTGAGATTCCACAGATTCCAGAAATATAAGTTTCATCACTGACCGATCAGAACTCGCGACGAAACGACAACAAACAACAACAACATTTGCTTTACGGAGTAAAAACGGCTAAAAACGTCTTGCCTTTGTTGTTTTCTGGTCAAAATGTGTGTTCAATTGCATTAAAACAATAAAAACGCTGCTGAAGGTTAATCCATAGGTTAATCCAATGTCTCTGTGTCACCTTGAAATGATTACTGATAATCCATCATTCCATTTTTATGTCAATAACGGAGATTTTATATTAGCTGCTACGAGAGTGTATGACAGCTTCCGGTTCCGGGGCATTCTGGCTGCGCAGCACTCGTTCACCAATGGGTAATGTTTAGATTGATTTTAGGAACCTCCCCTCGATTCTATTGGCTCTAACGGCTCAAAAGAGGTGTCAATCATCAAAATCGACGAGGGGGGGCAGAGATATGGAAAATCCACCCAAATGACCCCAGAAGTGTTTTTTCTTTTGCTAAATCTGTCTAAAAAGGTCAAATGTCACTTGTTTTGCATCAATCTTGATACAGGGTACTTATTATATGTTATAGTTTGGATTCCTAAAGCTTTTAGTCTACCATCCCATCATTCAAGGGTGGTTTTCACTATAAGTAATGTTTTTTTTACTATGTTCAATCTGAATTTACTTTAAAATTTAAAAAATCTATATTGATTCTGACTTTTCTACATCCAACTCACAGGTGTAACCTTGCTTTGAGAAAAAAAGATTATTAATGTACTCCTTTTAGACGTGAAGTATAGTCATTTGTTCTGGGAATGTCGTTTTCGAGTCTGAGACCTGAAAGCAGGCTCTGGGGTTAACAGGTTAACAAAACTGACTAAACAATCATATGATCAAAGTTCCTCAACAGCCCATAATGAGACATAGACCTTAGTTAATAGTTCAAAAGGAGCATTTTCAGATTTTAGTGCATTTTCCTGTGTAGACTTAAATACTTTCATACCTTAATGAATACTTTGATCATTCATATATAAATAACCCTGTGACCTTAAGAAGGCTTTGTTTTTCTCCCATGCCTCCATGGTGAACCAAGAACAAAGAAAAGTCTTGATACATTTAAATAATTGGGGTGTTGCTTTTTAAAACAGCAAAAATACACTCTCACACAACTCATGCAGTAAAATAATAATCAATCATCAAAGCACAAATTCAAGGTAGCACCGGGTGAAACAAACTATTTGACTGTGTGTTCTTGTCATTTGTTTTTCAGGAGGCAGAGAAGAGACAGCTGGGAGAGACGCTGATGCATCCTGGGAACTCAGAGAGATACGTGCACACCTTCAGGGATCTGTCCAACTTCTCCGGGACCATCAACGTGACGTATCGCTACCTCGCAGGAATCCCTCTGCCTCGCAAAAGTCAGTATTTCTACCGCAGATATACTACTCTGTGTATGTAGGGCTTTTTCTGTAGTTCTGAAAAACGGTTGTGTTCCTTTTGCCTATATGTTCCCAATTAACTTAGAAAAGACACAATACTCTTTATTTGATAAGTATTTAATTAACTCAAAAGTGTCCAAAAATAGGCTACCATGTGGTTAGTTTATATAGATGTATTATCAGCATCATTCAAAAGTGAAACAAAAGCACGACACAAGGTACAACAACAGAAAGACAAACTTTGAAAAAATGACTTTTGAGAAATATAAAACTAGCACATGAAGACAGATTAAGATTAAGACATATTTGAAAGAAAACATATGATAATAAAAGATAAAGCAGATGAGTTATACATGGGGGATTAAAATCAAATCGATGTTCAATTGTAAAAAAAATTGAACTATGATCTGAGATTTTTGCCGTATCGCCCAACTTCACCTTTTGTTCACGTTTTGTTTCAAAGTGAAGTAACTAAAGTAATGTTGATCTTCACAGAGTATCTCACCATCGGTTTGTCGTCTGTAAAGAGGAAAAAGGGAAACTACCTCCTGGAGACGATCAAATCCATCTTCGATCAGTCCAGCTACGAGGAGCTGAAAGAGATCGTGGTGGTGGTCCACCTGGCAGACTTTGACCTGGCCTGGTGTGAGAACCTGGTGCAGGAGATCACCAGGAAGTTTGCTCACCACATCATAGCGGGACGCCTGCTGGTGATCCAGGCCCCGGAGGAGTACTACCCCTCTCTGGACGGGCTGAAGAGGAACTACAACGACCCGGAGGACCGCGTCCGGTTCCGCTCCAAGCAGAACGTGGACTACGCTTTCCTCCTCAACTTCTGCACCAACCTGTCTCACTTCTACATGATGCTGGAGGACGACGTGCGCTGCTCCAGGAACTTCCTGACGGGGCTGAAGAAGGTGATCACCTCCAGAGAAGGGTCCTACTGGGTGATGCTGGAGTTCTCCAAGCTGGGCTACATCGGGAAGCTGTACCACTCCAGAGACCTGCCCCGCCTGGCTCACTTCCTGCTCATGTTCTACCAGGAGATGCCCTGCGACTGGCTGCTCATCCACTTCAGGGGTCTGCTGGCCCAGAAGGACGTGATCCGCTTCAAGCCCTCGCTGTTCCAGCACATGGGCTACTACTCCTCCTACAAAGGAGCGGAGAACAAGCTGAAGGACGACGACTTCGAGGAAGACTCCATAGACATTCCTGACAACCCTCCTGCCAGCCTTTACACAAACATCAACGTCTTTGAAAACTACGACGCCACCAAGGCTTACAGCACTGTGGACGAGTACTTCTGGGGGAAGCCACCGTGCACGGGGGATTTCTTTCTTATAATCTTTAACAAATCGACTAAAATCAGCAGGATTAAGATAGTGACGGGCACCGAGGACAGACAGCAGGACGTCCTTCACCACGGAGCGCTGGAGGTGGGACAGAAGTCTGTGGACACTAAGCAGGGCCGGCAGTGCACGTCCTACATCACGTTGGGTGAGTTTAAAGGCGGCAGCATCGAGGTCACCAACGTGGATCATAAGATCGGCTTCGACATCGAGTGTGTGCGGCTCGTTGTCACCGCCAGTCAGAAAGAGTGGCTCATCATCAGGACTATCAGCTTATGGACCACGCAGCCTGTGAGCCAGTTCATCAATTAACAGAGGGATGTTATAATCTGTAATGTACAGGATCGATTTGGGAGTTCATTTTGGACTACTTCTGGGAAATTACGTTTATGGGATTCAAAGCAATCCATATTTTCTTGGGTTGTTCAGAGATCTGCTGTATAGCTGCGTTTCCACCACCTGGTACGACTCGCCTTACCTCACAGTTACGTATCTTCCTCAGCAGAAACAAAACACTTTCTGAATCATTTAAACAAAAGGGGCGGGAAATCTCTAAGCAGTTGACCAATCACAATAGAGCCGACCAGCTAACCAATCAGAGCAGACTGGGCTCTGGTTTCAGACAGAGGGTGAAAAGAGGTGCTGCAGCACAGGCAGTATGAGAGAAATAAAGAGCTTTTTCAACATTAAAGCATGGAGACATGTAGAGACACTACATACTGATATACACCTGAACATCAGCAGGAGAGGACTCTTTAAAGTAGAGACACTACATACTGATATACACCTGAACATCAGCAGGAGAGGACTCTTTAAAGTAGAGACACTACATACTGATATACACCTGAACATCAGCAGGAGAGGACTCTTTAAAGTAGAGACACTACACACTGATATACACCTGAACATCAGCAGGAGAGGACTCTTTAAAGTAGAGACACTACATACTGATATACACCTGAACATCAGCAGGAGAGGACTCTTTAAAGTAGAGACACTACATACTGATATACACCTGAACATCAGCAGGAGAGGACTCTTTAAAGTAGAGACACTACATACTGATATACACCTGAACATCAGCAGGAGAGAACTCTTTAAAGTAGAGACACTACATACTGATATACACCTGAACATCAGCAGGAGAGGACTCTTTAAAGTAGAGACACTACATACTGATATACACCTGAACATCAGCAGGAGAGGACTCTTTAAAGTAGAGACACTACATACTGATATACACCTGAACATCAGCAGGAAAGGACTCTTTAAAGTAGAGACACTACATACTGATATACACCTGGACATCAGCAGGAGAGGACTCTTTAAAGTAGAGACACTACATACTGATATACACCTGAACATCAGCAGGAGAGGACTCTTTAAAGTAGAGACACTACATACTGATATACACCTGAACATCAGCAGGAGAGGACTCTTTAAAGTAGAGACACTACATACTGATATACACCTGAACATCAGCAGGAGAGGACTCTTTAAAGTAGAGACACTACATACTGATATACACCTGAACATCAGCAGGAGAGGACTCTTTAAAGTAGAGACACTACATACTGATATACACCTGAACATCAGCAGGAGAGGACTCTTTAAAGTAGAGACACTACATACTGATATACACCTGAACATCAGCAGGAAAGGACTCTTTAAAGTAGAGACACTACATACTGATATACACCTGGACATCAGCAGGAGAGGACTCTTTAAAGTAGAGACACTACATACTGATATACACCTGAACATCAGCAGGAGAGGACTCTTTAAAGTAGAGACACTACATACTGATATACACCTGAACATCAGCAGGAGAGGACTCTTTAAAGTAGAGACACTACATACTGATATACACCTGAACATCAGCAGGAGAGGACTCTTTAAAGTAGAGACACTACATACTGATATACACCTAGAATGAGCAGAATGTGTCCTCTTTAAATCTTGGTTCAGTAAAAGAAAAACAACGATGGCTTTTGATGGTAGTTTGCCATTTAAAGTGCAAAGTTTGTGAAGACGTCCTGTGACCAGCCCGTAAAAATTGCCCGTACTGTACTACACATTTCTAACATGAAACTTTGGGGTATTGAACATTTCCGGGTTCCCAACAGGACTCTATGAGCCGCCAAATAGACTTGAATGGAAACCCAAACAGAGTAAGACGATGGAGCGTCCATGTGGTGGAAACGCAGCAAATTATGTTTTCTAGGGCTGTACCCGAATGTGATGTTTTTAATGCAAAGCTTTTATTGAGGTGTTTGAAAGAAGCTCCAAATGTCTGTTATCAATACTGTGTAGCAACACCCTGAAAATATTATGGAAAACAGAATTATTTGATTTTGTTATGCTGTATAAATGTAAATGATGTTGCCGTGAGATCGCTGCACCTTTAAAACAGGAAGGTGTTTCTCTTTTGTGAGTTTTTTGAAGAGGGAGAGTGTGAATTATGTTTTTAAAGGCTTTACGCCAATTAATAGGATTGAAGATTTACTTTAATCAGATAAACACATGTTGTTAATTTGGGAAATGATCTATCTTTTTGCAATAAGTTATTACAAAGACCACTGCAGTCAGAAAGAAACACATCTACCACTGAAATGTGTGAATGATATAATATTAATAGTATAGCCGTGTCTTTATCTGCAACTATGCAGAAATACCTGGTTAGGACAGAATGAATTGTCATTTGCTTCTTCAAATTATTTGGTACAGCCCTATAGAGAGGCGAAGTCCCGCCCATCTACTTCCGACCCATGGCCTTATTTCGGAAAAATTATGTATTGAAGTCAATGGAGAGAGAAAGATTATCTCTCGGTCCCGTTTGAATTGTGCCACGAATTACAGTTTGTCGTAAAACTGTTGAAATATAAGACTAAAAAAATACGCAACTAGAAAGACTACAAATCGCAGAATCCCGGTCCCGCATGCTGGCTCTCACGGAACCGACTAACTCCCCTTGAGTGTATGTACAGCTCTCAACGTGCCCAGACTTGTAGTGATTTTCGCCTCTTTTAATGCTTTTCGCCTCATTCTGAAAGAAAGAAGTGAAATGTAAAATTATCTTTTAAATTGACAAACATCATATGTGTAATTCGTGGCACAATTCAAACGGGATCAAAGATAATCTTTCTCTCTCCATTGACTTCAATACATACTTTTTCCGAAATAAGGTCCCATGGAGGTCCACCGGAAGGGGAGGGACTTCGCCACTCTATTGTTTTAATGTATTAAATAATCTGTACAGTATGGAGCCTTTATACAAATGTACATTTTCCTAAATCTGTATATAAAACTGTTCTTACATGGCTGCTTTCTTTATTTGTCAATTAGCACAAGGAAAAGCACATAATGCAGTTTAAATGTGTCTCTTTGCATCTCACCACACACACATGTCAGGGCTGGGTCTGTCATAATAAAACCTCGCTGGAGCACATTTGGGGGATTTGGTTCCTTGCTCAGAGGCTCTTTGGCGGTCCCTCTGAGGCAAACCCTCTCCAGCTACCAGTCCGCACTGCATACTGGGTCCTTATGTGGAAATTGAACCTTCAAATCGTTGCACGTGACTCTTCAGGGTGTCCGCGGGGTCTTAAAAAGTATTAAAAGTTGATAAATCAATTTAGCGAAAATTAAGGCTTAGTGGGTTAGAACCCGAAGTGGCGATGAGGTCTTAAAATGTATGGAAAGGGTCTTAAAAAAGGTCTTAAAAGTTATTACATTTGACTTCAGGATTCCTGCATATACCCTGCTCTTGTAAATGTGCTTTTTTATAACCTGGTTACAGATGTTTCAAATCATCAGAATTGTGTAATACAGTGTTTCACTTTGATTATCAGGACATTTTTAGGAAGTCATGCACTCAGACTCAATCAATCAATAGCTGCCTTTCACATGCTGTCTCTAAGTTCTAATGAACGAGGGTGGCTTCAGTGCAACACTGTTTCCTACATCTAATATTAAACACAATCTAAAATAAATTGAAAGAGAAAAGGCAAAGAGGGAAAGTTTGAATGGCTCATTAGACCAGGGTCGGCCCGTAGCACTGGCGTTATAGATGTTCGCCTAGGGCGCCAGATCTGGGGAGGCGCTGCTCTGACAGCTCTGGGAGGGAAAAAAACATTTTTCACCGATTGCGCTCATCCTAATTTTTGGCCTTGATGTAACAACATTCATAATTAAGTAAATGTAACACTCTTTTCACCCCGGTTATACTTTTCATTTGCCCTGTACGATGGGCGCTGTAAGTGATGATAATGGGGGATGTTGGCTTATCAGACGCCCGCGGCTCACAGCCAAAGTGCATGTACATGTCTTCCGAGTCACTTGCTTCAGAAGCAAGGCAAGAATCCTTCCTGGCATTCGGAAAACGAAGAGTGGAACAGGCGAGCAAGTGTGCAGGTGTGCGTCATATGAGAGGCCCCGCCTTACAGTTTCCGCCACAGATTTGGGGAAATTGGTCCGTGCGCAAAGCATTGTGGGGATTTTAAGACCGCGGAGTCTACACATGTGCAGCCTCGAAATTTCTCGCTACGAAGTACGCCGGCCTCGGTAGAATTCCAAGTATGCTGGACATTGAAACAGTCCTTCGGCGGCACTCGATGACGCAGTATGCTTGAAATAGTGGCTCTGGAGCAGCTTTCCTCGACATTGAGAAACACCCAGTGAGTTTAGATAGTTCACTTTAGTCCAAGTTATCTCAGTGGGTCTCAAACGTTTTGATCCCAATTTATGTAAACAAATATTTCCAAGGCACTCCTTTATAATTATTGGGATAAACAGGTTTGAAATCATTTCAATGTATACTATAGGACAGTAAACCAGACATATCGTTTAAAACTGGAGAGATCAAAAAATATGCATAAATAGATAAATGTTAATAGGTCAAATAAGATATGAATGAACAGCAAAAATCTCGCCTAGGGCAGCAAATTGTCTAGAGCCGGCCCTGCATTAGACGGTCTCCATGAGTCATTCTGTCAGGACTTGTGAGCAGCCGGAGGACCTGAGCGCCACATTGAAGACGTTTCTCCTGTTCAAAGGTGGGAAAACATGCTGAAGAAATCATTCATTTATTCACGTACCTCTTTCTCAACAATCAACTGGCAACGTCCTTACAGTCATTACTTGATTTATGTATATAAACAGAAAATAAGTATTATTTTATTTGATATAGCTTCACACTAATATCTTCATTTTAAGGGAACTCTTAGATTCCACAGGTTTGAATATCACCAGCAGATTTTCTTTTGGTATAGGCTAATGACAGAAGGTAATGGATCCTGTTGATGGAGGGGCGTTACGTAATTTGACCTCCTTCAAAAACACAGATTGTTGTGTTGTATACATAATTAGAATTAGTATGGAATCAGATCATTATAAGAACTTCTCTCTCCTAACTCATGTCTGTTTCTAACTTTATCTTCAGTTAATTTGTGTTTGGTATCGTTTGCTGCCATCTGCTGGTAAGTTAATTTGTTTAAATGTAATAAACTTTATATATACAGTCTATGGCACATGTGTCAAACTCAAGGCCCGGGGGCCAAATCAGGCCCTCGGTGGATTTAATTTCTGCCCACAGGATAATTTTAAATTCCTATTAGATCTGGCCCGCCGGTATATTGCACGCACACCTTCACTCCATCCTGAGGGTCTCCTCAGCTCAGAGCCTGAGCCCAAACATTGATGACCTTGCACCCGAGATGAGATGCCAAGTATCTGAACTAGCATCACAGAGCAGCACACTGAGTTTAATGGATGTTTCCTTCTGCACTTTCTTTCTCACGACAGCAGGGCAGGTTTGGTTTGTTCTTTGAGGGAAATAGTTTTCTTGAAGCTGTTGTTGGCCTGTGAAAAAATGTAATCATAAGAAATGACTCTGGAAAAGCTGCAGATAGAGCCATAAGAAATGAATGCAACTGATTATTTAATGTTGTTTTTATAGGCAATAATTTAAGCTTTGTTAGTTCCAGGTTTAATATGTGCAATAAGTTCATTTCAATAAGTTCTGTAATAAACATTGAACCAGTCCGGCCCTCCACTAGTACCCATTTGTTAAATGTTGGCCCACTTTGTATTTGAGTTTGACACCCCTGGTCTATGGTAATAAACTAAATCAGGATCAGAGTTGGTTAACACATAAAAGGAATTTGCTTTGGTATATATGTGGTACATACAAAGAGAAAGGAATAAGAATATGTAACAAAACTAAATAAAATAAAAATACGACTGTTATGACAGATATTTAAAAAAAACTATTTTAAGACTATTATAACACATTAACAATAATTACACATGACAAATACTATATACTGGATTTAAAGGGGAGAGCTGTGCTGATTTTAAAGCGGTAGTGTGGAGAAGAAATGTGCAACATGTGAAGGATTCATTGAAGAAGAACTGTGAAAATTATGAAACTAGTTGACATTTAAAAAGTGTTTAATAAGTAAGGGGTAATGTGCAGCGAGGCGGTCACTATGGGGAAAAGAACACCCGACAGGCAGATCAGGATCCCGACGCGTAGCGCATGAAGGGTGCATGCAGTTTGCTTTTCGGCCAAACTGTATACAGTTCAATCGACCGGACGTCTTTGTGCAGATGTGAGCGTCCTTAACCCTGTAAAGCCCAAAAATAGAAAAACATTAGATTTTATTTTTGTTACCTTTCAGATGTTGTTGTAGGGAGCCTCTGGAGCAGAAGTTTTTAGCTAAATGTTGTAATATTGCAACGTTGGGCTTAGGTGGGAGCAGAATTCCTGTATTTCTACTCACATTGTCTGAAGAAATATATTGAATATTGATTGCTTACTTAGCCCTACATCAGTAGCATGAATAATAATCACACATCAGTCATATATTTTATGAATAGTCATTTATTGAATATGAATATGGAGTCCAAAAAACAGTTTCTGTCGTCAGAAAAGCACAGACGTCACACTTGGTGCATTGGGTGTTTGTGTACCCTTTACTGCAGTGTCTGCAGCGTCCTCTCTTGGTCTTCCCTGGAAAATGTGCCACTAGGTCCTTCCGTACATCCAGGGGAGGCTGTGATCTCTTGGATGGGGCCCCGTTTGGTGGACTCCCATCACCTGAGGGTGGTCTCATCTGAGCAATCAACGGGCTCCTTGATGCCACCGTCGCTGCTGGGCTCCCGTTGCCTGAAGATGGTCGTCCTCTCTTGGGTGTTTTCAGAGGAGTTGTGTTCACCTGATTAGAACAGAGTCAATCAGGATACAAGTCAAAAATATTACAGTGAAATATAAAAAAATATTACAAACGGCAAATAGCAGAAATGCATTCTTACCAGGATGAGAGAGGATGCTAGATCTGCCTGAAACTGTGTCCTGTTCAGGATCTCCTGCTTTGGCATCTTTAGAGCTCTGCACTCCCACTCGTAGAGGAGCCAGGCGTTGATCACAGCAAGGATGATGGTGTGCCAGAATATGTACACGTGCCAGCGTCGGGACTTCATGGGGAACTTATATTTGGCCGTAAACGAGTCCAACAAATCCACATCTCCCATGTACTTGTTGTACGTAGCCACAATGGAAGGCCTCTCAACTTCTACGTAGGTTTTGTTGGCGTTGAATGTTCTGCACAGGGTCTGGTCCAGCAAAGGATGAGACAAGTGTGACCGCTCTGCTGTCATACCATTTGACAGCACAGATGGTTGGTCGCCACTCGGATGTCAAAGCTTCCTCTCCCCTTTTTCTTCAAGCTCTTCTCCTCTTCAAGGTTGCAGTTGGGTAAGCGCACCTGCCTGGCTGTTCCCACATAATGAATCCCACGATCAAGGAGCTTCACTACCAATGGGACACAGGTGAAGTAGTTGTCTGCGTAGATCTTGTAGTTCTGACCTTCTGGAAGCGTGGAGACAAGCTTCATCACAACATCACCTGACAATCCAAGTTCAGACTTGGCTCGTATCCCATTGACTCTGCCTTGGTACACATCAAAGTCACAGATCATCAACCATACCTGTGGGTGGGGGGGTTAAAATAAATAAATAAAACCTGTAAACAAGGACTCTCTACGAACCCTGAAGTCAATATGGAGCAATACATCACTTTATTTTATTTTTCCTTTGTAATGATCCCCATTGTCTTCATGTGCTATTTGTAACATCTGTACTGTTTTGTATTGATTATTACTGTTCTTACTTCTTGTCATTTGCTGGATTATGACTTGTTTGCAATAAAAATATTTGTAAAAAAATAAATAAAGTCACAGATCATTCCAGAGATTTCAGTTCTCACCCACTTTCTCCGTTTTGGATGGCATCACATCCTGCACACTGAATTGAGGACCTCTCTTTGCTGCTGGCATTCTGAAATGGAAAAAGTCATTAATAAATATGTATCACTAATACATATGCTTATTATATTGTAATAGATTACCTGAAGGAATAGATAGGGTGGTGGGACAAGGGTTCATTCTGTCTGGCTTAGCCTATTATCATACTAAAAGGAATGCATGCACCACCCCCTTCCAGGTGTCCCGATGCAACAAGTATCTGAATCCTATTTACATTGCACACTTGAGTCACACAATACTACCTGGCTTAGCCTATTATCATAATAAAAGGAATACCTACACCCACTCATGCAGATTAACCAGTTCAACAAGTCACACAATGCTGTCTGGCTAATGCTAACAGGCTAATTATCATTCTAAAAGGGATACATCCAAGTGTCCCAACACATTTCAGAAACTGTTTCTGCAAGAACCAGAGTTAAATGTATTTTTGCAACTAAGTAACTGATAAGATACAAGTAGAGTTTAAAATATTGATACAGATATAATTTCACATACTTTTATCAGAAATAATGTATTAATTTATTCAATTCTGGTCTTAATTCAAAATCTTAACAGAGGACACATTTAGAACTTAGTTATAGTGAATTATCAAAGACATTATATTTCTATTTGTGTTTTATTTCCATATGTGAACATATAAGAAGGGCGGGGTCCATGACAGGTGCTTATGCTATTTTGACTACCACACTGACCCAGTGTTGTAATATTACAACAAAGACATAAGCTGCTCAAAATCCAATTTCATGAATGTATTCCACAAAAACTAAATATGTACATGTTCTAGGCAGGACCTGGCTATAAACACATTTACTACCCAATAGCATTGTGAGGCTGAACAAAAGGACCTTTTGACTATGTAAATGTAGTCTTTAAAAAAACAAAACATTTACTGACTTTTTTAGGATAGCTTAAAGTAATGTTGTACAATTACAACAGTGGGCCTTACAGGGTTAAGCAGTGCAATGCATTTAGACTCTAACCATTTTAATTCATGTCGTTTCACTTTCAAGCATTTTCAGGAAGTTTACTAGCACATTTGTGCAACTTTTCAAACAGGAAATGTATTTGACTACTTCCCTTATTATTCCACCTTTCAATGTGAAAAAGCCACCGTGCAATTTGATTTGATTGGAAACACACTGTTGCATTTGTGGAGAGATCATGTAGATGGGCGTGCCTACCTGAATGCGCGCGCATCTCACCGCATAAAAGGAGGCCTCGCCTCCTGACTATCATACCGTTGTCTTCAGCAAGCAAGAGAAAACAACTGAGTTAAGAGAGACGGATAAAGAAGGAAAATGGACTCACCATTACTGGAGCAACGACCCTGCCCTTCGTGCCCGGGCGTTATTGCAGGCGCCGACCTCCACCGCCGCTGTATCCAGTGCCTGGGGTCCGACCACGCGGTTGCCAACCTGGGCCTGCTTCCGGCCTGCAGCGCCTGCAGCGCCTGCCGTCTGATACCTCGGTTCAGCCGCCGCCAGCGGCTGGTGCAGTTCGGGGATTGTTACGTCTCGCCGGTGGAGGACCCAGAACTCGAGGTGGTGGAGGACCCAGAACTCGAGGTGGTGGAGGACCCAGAACTCGAGGTGGTTGAGATGGAGGAACACGATGAGGGAGTGCCCTTCGTGTTCGCCATGCCAGCGGACCGGACGGGCCCGCCAGTCGGGGAGAGGGACGACGACGCCACCTCGTTGTCTGATGCTTCCGGCGACCGCCAGAAAGGCCAGCAGCACAGGTCTACGCACAGGTCTACGCGGCAGGACTTCCCGGCGGTGATGACTATGGCGGCGGAGCGTGTAGGCTTACCGCTCCCCCCACCGTTGCCACCAAGGGCGGTGAACCGCCTACTTCAGGGCTTCTACGGCCCTGCCCGTCCGGCCCAGCCGGCCTTCGTTTCGCCCCCCCTGCCAGACATCTGGCGGCGTGTGGAGGCGACGTGGCGACAGCCACTGAGGACGAAGGCTCCGGTGGAAACATGGGCTGGAATCCTCAGGGTGCAGGGCCACTCGGACACCGGTGTGGCCCCCCTGGATGAAAGTCTGGCGGCCCATCTGCTTCAGCAGGCAGCCGGGTGGGCAGAGGGGAGAAGGCCGCTGTCGCGTGACCGGGAAATTCTCGAGCATCTGGATAAGATGTTCAGGCTCGGAGCGCAGATGGCGGCGGCGGCCAGTAATCTTGGCGTGTTGGTAGTGTCGCTGATTACCCCTCAACAGGACACCCCCGCCCCCCCGCCTGAGGACGGGAGTGATTACTCGGACCGCTGCGTGGGCCAGATTAATAATCTGGTCCACGGTATGGCTACCGCAGCCGGCCGTGTGATGTCCCTGGCCACCGTGGCGTCGCGTCAAGTGTGGCTAGGTCTGACCACACTGGCCAGGAAGGACCGAGATGATCTCCTTGGGGCACCCGTTTCCATGGAAGGGCTCTTCGGGTCGACATCATCGGTCACCCAGCATTTCAGTCGCCTGGAGGAAGAGAGGGCGCAGCTCAGCCGCATGCTGGCTCGCTCTCAGGCCCCTCCTCAAGAGAGAGAGTGCCCGGTGGTGGTAAGGCGGAGAGAGAGGCGCCGGTACAGAGCCCCCGTTGCGGCCTCTGCCTCCGCGGTCCGTCCCGGAGAACCGGCCCAGTACCGGCACTCACAAGGACAGGCCGGCCGAACCCGACGGGCTCCGCCTCAGCGAAGGGGTGCTGGGTGGGGTGCACCGTCCTCCAGGAGCTGACGGGAGGAAGCGTCCCATTATTATATAATGCTAATTTAGCAAATAGAACCAGTTTATCGCGTAATGCGTTTTGTTTTCATCTTTGTTAGTTTATATTAACCAAAGCTTACATTGTTTTAGATGTATCTTAGTTTTGTTGAGTCAAATGTTAGTTAGTTGCAGTGGTGTAAAGTAATCGAGTAGTCTACATTTACTCGAGTAGCCTACTGTAATTAAGTATACTTCTGAACTTAGTTTTTCTTTCAGTTTCATAATACAACATGTTCACCCAACAGTGTAGTCTATTTGTGTTAATCTGTATCTACACAGCCGACATGTAGAGAGAACACATCAAAGAAGAGGTACTTGTATTTAACCGGCGGGGAGAGGTGCTTTCTCGAATCCCGCCTGCGCCCTATTTGACCCCACTGTGTTGACACAATCGTCTTTTCATGTGAATAAAAGAAATTGCTTGTATCCTATCCCAGTCTGAGTGTATTTTCTTTCCACACTGCCTGCCACATAATGTTGACCGTACAGATTCCCCACTCGCTGCCCAGGTGGTAACTCCAGTAAAGGAGGCAGCTAGTGGGCATGCGCGGGTGAGAGTGATAAACCGCAATATGCCGATACAGGGACATTATGGCCGGCGTAGCAGGGTTAGGAAACACATAACGCCGAGTGTAAACACTCCGCTTGATGCATTTCACTGTTTGGGTGAATGCGTCATGGCGGGGCGCGCCGGGATGAGTTCCAGGACCTCAGTAGAGAGTCGGCCCTTTCCGCGTCGACCCCTTGCTGCGGAACGGGTCACTCACCAGAGAGTGCCACAGCTTTATCGCTGTCTTATGGGGAATGGAAGCGCAGCTGTGTGTTAACGGATTGGATGGGCAGGACGCTGAGACTGGGTTATTCACTCCAGTTTCGCAGCATCCCTCCTCCGTTCACAGGCATAAAAGAGGCAAAGCTATCATCCCGGTTCCCAAGAAGACGAATTCTGGATCTTTGCAGCCTGAATCTCCACATTGAACGCAGAAAATTCCAGATGTTAACTATAAAACAGTTACTGGGAAAACGTACTACTTTATTGTAAAAAATAAAGTAAAATCTATTCAACCAGTAAAGATTCATAATACGTACTTATATATGTTTAACTTTATTTGTGCACTTCAACACAATCATGTGGTATAAACATATACTACCATGAATATATGAGGAAATATCAGGAAGAATAAAAATAAACCAATCGTTAATTTGTGGAGTTTTTGCCTGAGAAAATACTTTTAAAACTCTTGACATGACTGATTTTTCCCTAATTCATTTCTTCTTCTCCCGCTCCAGTAGGTGACGGTAATGCGCCGACAAACACCAACGAAGAAGAAGACGTAGTCAAACGGCGCCGTGTTGTTGTCAACAAGCAGGAGCTAACAGATCCAGCTGCTCCTCCTCCTCAAAGTTGTGGAGTGTTTGGTAAGAAAACAACCTCACATTTTCCCATGTCATGATGAAGAAACAAATGTACCTGTCTTTATTTAGAGAGGTTTTACGGCTTTACTGAATGTTTGTTTACCTGCGAAATGATGCTAACTACATTAGCAAGTCATGTTTAGAGTAAGCTTCGTATGTGTGTTATATCTTAAATCAAATGGGTTTTAAAATAAGAATAAAGCTGCTGTTCACCACAGTGACGAGTCACATATCTAACTGTTATCGAGCTGTTTATTTTGTTAGCTTACTGTGTATGTGGACGTTATTATATCATGCTAATTCAGCAAATAGAACCAGTTCATCGCGTAATACGTTTTGTTTTCATCTTAGTTTCTGTCAACCAAAGCTTACATTGTTTTAGATGTATCTTAGTTTTGTTGAGTCAAATGTTAGTTATTTGCAGTGGTGTAAAGTAATCAAGTACATGTACTCAAGTACTGTAATTAAGTATACTTCTGAACTTAGTTTTGCTTTCAGTTTCATAATACAACATGTTCACCCTTAGTCAACAGTTTAGTCTATTTGAATGAATCTGTATCTACAGAGCCGACATGTAGAGAGAACACATCAAAGAAGATAATACAAGAAGAGGTACTTGTACTTAACCTGAGTGTTTTCTTTTTGTACTTTTGTACTCCACTACATTTTGGAAGGACATTTTGTACTTTCTTACGGCACTTCATTTATTTTACAGATGTGTTTACTAGTTACTTTTGACACACAATACTAAAGGAACACTTCAAATTATGATTATTTGGTATAGAATAAACGATCCAACATTATATCTAACTAACTAAAACAGAAGTATTTTTAATTTAAACAATTTTTGTTCAAAGATATTTCACAGTTATTTTTTGCTGATTTTGCTTAAAAATATTCTTAACTTTTACCCCAAATACTTAAAGTACATTTTCCTAATCTTACTTAAATACTTTTACTCAATGCAGTACTTTTACTTAACATAGAGTATTTTTACTGTGTGGTATCAGTACTTTCACTCAAGTAAGGAATCTTTCTTGAACAAACAAAAATAAGTTTACAGACGTCCGCTTTGTTTCCAGGAAGTTGTGGTTAGAGAGCAATAACTCTAGTAGGTGTTGTGGGTGGGTGTACGTGGCCGCTGAAACGTGAAACCAAAGTCTATAACAGTCATAAAAGATAAACGTGTGTGGATTAGCGTGTTGGTGTTCGGATCAGGTTCAAACCCCAAATTGCTCCTGTGGGGATTGCCCACAGTATTGAGTATGTAATGAACAGCTCTATCTTAAACGAATGCTCTCTCTGGTGTGTAACTTGTGAGTGTCTTCCATGGAGGACTAGAAGGGGTATGAAGTTATTGTACGCAGAAAAGATAAAACCTAATCTTTATTCAGACAAGCAAGCTGTTAACTTTGAGGTTTTATGTCCACATGTATCACACAAAAATCACACTCTGCCAGTTTACATGTAACTTTCAGTCTTTAAGCAGTGCAATGCATTTAGACTTTAACCATTTTAATTCACGTCGTTCCACTTTCATGCATTTTCAGGAAGTTTGCGAGCACATTTGTGCAGCTTTTCAAACGGGAAATGCATTTGACTAATTCCAACAAACAAAACCTAAAGACTACCTGTGTGTTTCCCTCCAGGCTCTGCTGACCTGGATGCGCTGCAGCCTCCTGCCGCTGCCTCTCTCTCTCTGCTGCAGCCAGGATGGGCCAGCAGCTCTCAGGTCAGGCGCTGAACCGTCTGCCTGAGAAGCTGGTGAAACACGCAGGACTCGTACGAGACAGCGGCTACCTGACCTACGAGGAGTTTCTGGGGAGAGTGTCCGAACTTAACGACGTGTAAGTGGCAGTCTTTTCAGTACATTCAGGTATAAAGTGTCTTAAATTGTGCGGATACATACAGCTGTTTTCCAGTTGTTCAGAGACAGTGCAATCAAGTGGAGGTTTAAACAAACACCTGCTATTGACTTGTCTCACGAAGAATTGCTGTATGTTTTGTATTGTTAGCCCTTTATTTGTGGCTTCTAGACATTACTTTACCATGGTGCCTTACTGGTTATTTGAAACATAATGACTTTACCTACAATGGCCCTAATATGCTGTCCTACATTTTGGACTGAGAGCTAAACTCTGCACATCTAGCTTCAGTGCTGTTCCTTCATCTTGGATCTTATTCCATAGACACGAGGCCCTGTTTCTGACAATCTAATTTGAGCTAACTAGCTTTCAGAGATTGTAACTGAGAGACAGGATAACAAGGTTAAAGTGAGTTAGTCTACGTTGTGACCAAAGGAAGAACATTTGAATGACATGGCAGATTAGTGTAGAAGTTTTTATTATCGCAAAGTTGGAAGACAAGTGTAATGTCAGTGGTTATGTAGTGCATAGTATGTACTGTAGTTTCATTTCTACTTGGTATCTGAAAAGGTTTCATATTTTGAATAATCTCTTGTCTCTGTAAAGCTGAGTTCACAGCACATTAACATCACACAGCAGTTTTGCCCAAATATACACTTAAAATCTAGAGGAAAATGTAGAAATATCCAGAAAGTGGCATTACCTTGTGTGTGTTTGCATGAGGAGCTCTGTCTATTGCAGACGAGAGGTAAACTGACTCAGAATGCTTTAATTGAGGTTCATACTCTCTCTCTGTCCTGCTGGATCTCTCTCAGTACGGCTAAGCTAGCCTCTGGACAGCAGAAGCACCTTCTGTTCGAGGTGCAGCCAGGATCCGATGCCACCGCCTTGTGGAAGGTGGCTGTCAGAGTCCTCTGTACCAAGGTGAGTCCAAACACAAAGTAAGTAAGTAACATTTATTTATAAAGTGCTTTTCACAGACATAGTCACAAAGTGCTTGACAAAACATTAAAACATCATAGGAATCATAAAAGAATAAATGACCACACAAGCCACGTGTTAAGAAGTGCTAAAAACACAATACACAGTAAAACACCATAAAAACATAGGATACAATAGAATCAAATAAAAGCACACGGGTTACCAAAACGCCTGCCCAAACAGGAGTGACTTTAGCTGACTTTTAAAAGAGACAGCAGAGTCAGCGGCCCGTAGGTGACTCTGTTGTCTGTGGGCAGAGTGTTCCATAGCTTAGGAGACAAACATCACATGCCAACGAGAACATCAGCCCACAGCTTTGACGTTGTGTTGTGACTTCCTTTGCCTGCTCTCAGATCAACAAGGAGACCGGCATGGTGGAGGCTTCTCGCATCATGAACCTGTACCAGTTCATCCAGCTGTACCGGGACGTCACCAGCCAGGCTGCAGAGGTCCTGTCTGCAGAGGGAGCCTCCTCCGCCCAGCTGCCCTCCACAGACTCCTGCCAGGCCAGCATGTGGATGGGCAGGTAAGGTCACAGGAAGTCGTCCCTCAAACTGACAAAGACCCCATGACTAATTTATTCAATTAATTTGAAAGAATATGAACAGTATATACAGTGATTCACATTAAAGAGCCTTGAAAGACACCACATCTAAATATCTCCTGGTGTTGGGATTCAAACCATGACTGTATGTATATAACATTAACCTTGTGAATATTATTAACTAACTAATCAAGCAGAGTCGACCAATAGGTCAGAAGACATCCAATTAGAAAAAACTAACAATACGGTAAGAAATATAAAGAGAAAGGATACAAATATACACAGTTCAAACAATAATTATCAAGAATGAGCATTTCATTTATAAAAAGAAAAAGGATAACCATTGTTTTTACAAGTTGTACTTTGGCTTTGATAACAACAACTCCACAGTGGTGTTAATATGCCAGTGTTGTCCTTCAGCTTAAGTGGTTAAAAAAAATCAATGAATACATTTTTTTCCCAATCAACACAAATGTGGGTGCTGCAGTAAAACGTAAAAGTGTTTGTCCAACCGGCTGCTTACATGAGGGATTGAAAAACGTATTTTGAAGCTGAATCCCTGGTTTATCCCCCTGGAAGAATTACCATCCACAGGAGGAGCTGAGGCTGTTTGAGGGGAACCATTTTACATTTTCATGCATTTTTATATCACTGATATAACACATTTTTCTCAGGGAAATCCTTACCATCAAAATGCATCTAACCTTAGGCATTTTATAGATGGATAGATAGATGGATGGATAGATAGATAGACGGATAGATAGATAGATGGATAGATAGATAGATGGATGGATAGATAGATAGATAGATGGATAGATAGATGGATAGATGGATAGATGGATAGATAGATGGATAGATGGATGGATGATAGATAGATGGATAGATAGATAGATGATGGATGGATGGATAGATAGATAGATGGATAGATAGATGGATAGATGGATAGATAGATGGATAGATGGATGGATGGATAGATAGATGGATAGATAGATGGATGGATGGATAGATGGATAGATGGATAGATGGATAGATGGATGGATAGATGGATAGATATATGGATAGGTACTTTATTGATCCCAATTTGGGAAATGTTTGGGTTGCAGCAGCATAAAAAACAAGGCAATAAGAGAAATTAAGACACAAGGAATGAACAGTCCAAAATATTTCTGAAATATAAATAAAATAGCATTAAAAAGTTAATATATATATACACGTGGAAATACACATTTCCAGTAACAAATATAATGCAGGACATTATTGTGCAATAAATTGATTATTCAATATTAAATTCCAAGATATTACATTCTTTAGATAAAAAGCCATACTTCCCTGCTTCGAAAGTAATGAAACATCATCCCTCTGTGTGTGTGGCCCTGCAGAGTGAAGCAGCTGACGGACGAGGAGGAGTGCTGCATCTGCATGGACGGGAAGTCCGACCTGATCCTGCCCTGTGCACACAGCTTCTGCCAGAAGTGCATTGATAAATGGTAAGGGGGTGGATTTATTATTGTATTTCTTGGTTATCATGGAAAGTAGTGACAAAGAAGTCACCTATGATGAACAAACACTAACATTATATCAGTATTTTCTCTATTTTAGAAGCTTGTATTGATGTTTTAAATTAAACTTTAAGGGCTTAACACCAGTAAATATGGATTGAAGCAGAATAATATGTTTGATAAAACACATACAGTATGTTGAATAACAAAAAAAAAGGTTAGATTTTTGTTCAATACATTTTAAAACACTCTTTAGTTTAGCCTGATATATCTGCAGCTGTGCAGACACAAGACTTTAAAACGACATGAATAGAGAAAGCTGTACAGTGTGCAAAAACCCTTAACTGTTAGATACAGTCGTAAATATGACACTCTGTCTTCTGTCTCTGCAGGAGTGGGCAGAGTCGAAACTGTCCGATATGTCGCCTGCAGGTGACTGCTGCCAATGATTCGTGGATCATGTCTGATATCCCCACAGAGGAAGACATCGCTGGCTACATCCTCAACCTGGCGGATGAGGCGGGCCACCCACACCAGCCTTAACACACAGCACACAAAGTAGATACTGAGAGAAATAGATCCACACCAAGTAGACACACAATGTCCCTTTCAATATGAGGAGATTTTGTTACTATAAAGCTAACATAATAAAAGGAGTATGCAGGGTTTCCTTCTCCTTTGAAACCTCCCCTCCTTTAAATCCTGAAAACTCCCAGGATGCTCTTTGTAACCCAAGTATTGTAGATGTGGTGCTTTATGGGAACTGTGTGTGATAATACATTGTCTGAAGTGACATTTTGTATTTGTTATATGTTAGAATACTTTGTAATATATTAATTTAACACACAGAAGATCCAAAAGAACCGCTCTTACAATAATTGTTGGATTACTAACTAACATGGGAAACCTTTTGAAGGGTTTAACCAGGCACTTTATGCTTCCATGCTAATATGATTGTGATGGAAGCTGGTACAAAAGAGGTGAAGTGAGTTCAGCCTTTGTGTTCAGAGAGAGTTATAACCATGGGTTAAATATTCATAGTTGTGAAATTGAAATGAATAGTTTTACATTTGTGAAAAACATATTCATGTTTTTAAAGAGAGTTGGACGAGAAGATTGATCCCACACACGTCTCTACCGTAATTAAGAAGCTAAAGCCAGCAGCTGTTAAACTTAGCTTAGCAGAAAGACTACAGAGGGAGAAACAGTTAGCCTGGTGCTGGTCAAACCATATAACCCATCGGCACCTCTTAAGTTAACTTGAAATGTTGTTTAAACTGTTCCCGAATCAACCATTGGCCTTGACCTACAATATGTCACTGAAAGAGACGTGTGCCAACCAAGATGAGACTCAAAATGATTACAAACAGACCACGATGGGTCCAAAGAAACAATTATGAAAAGGGCAAAACAACAACAACTACTATGAGATACAAAGCAACTAAAAAGTCACAACACTAACCACAAAAGAGACGCTGTGGCTTTGTATTTAACAGAATACATTAAAGTTATTACAATCACATATCTAACTCTCCGCCAGAAAGTGAAGAACCGTTTCCCAGATTGTCAAACTTTTGCTTTAAGTGCAAAACCCAAGAAACAGCATTCATGGTGAAACACTAAAATCAAATTAATTTCCCACCCATAAAGCTGTTCTGTAGTCTGTGCGATGTAACCCTGCATGTTTATATTCCACATGACATGCCTTATGTGAACCTGGTATATAAACTCAGATAGTGACTGATCATAGTATTTTGGGTGTACAGGACTAAATAGTTTTATATGATTTTAAATGACTAGGCTTGCTGTAGTTAACCACTGTTGCCCCTTTCACACCAGCGCTTTTTCAGCTCCGGCTCGGAGCTGGAGCCTGAAAAGCGCCGGTTTTTCCTGTTCACACCGCAGCGGCGCCGGCTCTTAGCTCCAGAATCCGGTTCACTTCCAGCTCCAAAAAAATTGTCGGTCTAGAGGCAAGAGCTTCGGAGCTAAGAGGTGGCGTCGCTTACGTCTCTCTTACGTCGAGGCGTGCAGGAAACTAAACCCTCCTCCCCTGAACATGGGTCGACTGTCATGCCTGCCTACAAGCAGTAGTGCTTATAAACACACTTTATAAAGTCAGCAACACTAACCAGGCTTCGTGTGATTCTGTTTATTTGTACCATTACTTTGACCATCCGTTCACTGTTATTGATCATTGTGGAGAGAGGCAGACGTGTTGTTTTGTATTATAGCAGCTATCGGATGGAATCAATACATGGGCTGCACAGGTTTTCGTGTCCGACTATCACAAGTAGAATCATAATAAAAATACGCCGGTAAAATGTGCCTGTAGAAAACGGTTTATATGCCACAATAGGATTCTTTCACACACACACATACGGGTTTTGGGCCGAGGGCGACACCGTACTTCCGGTATCAACCATTTCACGCGAGGTGCATACAGAATATCATAGTCGATTACCTTAATCAATATAGTCAACTCTAAAATACCACATATATGCATTGGCATGATAATATTATTGTGACAAGTGGGGTATTCACCTGGTGTTTCCAGAAGATAGACGTAGATGCAGCCAAAATCGACCGAAGGCCACTTTTGAGGGTTGTAATTCCATACATTGTACATCCAACAACCCACACAGCTCTAGTTTACGCTGGTAACGACCTAGAGCACACCCCTCAAGTCCAGAGATGTAATCCGAAGACATGCAGCGATTTCTTCGGTCGTTAAATCAGAAAAAAAACCTAGTGCGCTCTGCCTGGCAACATCAGCTAGCTGTTTATATTAGCATTGCCAGGATTTTTGCACCTCCAGAAAAATGGCGTCTTTATAAATAAATATATGGCGCGCGTTGCATTGTGGGTAGCTTTGACGTCACTGTGTGTGAAAGAATAGCAATAGCAAGTAGTCAGTTTAGCTTCGGTTGCTATGCTAACATCACCCATTTTATACCAGAGAAACTTTCATAACAGCGTTGTGATGCCAAACAGCGTCAATTCAGACTGACACACATTCACTTAGGCTAAGGGGAACTGGGGATATATATCAGCTGCTTGTGTGAGTCGGACAGTGAATACTTTAGAGCGGCAGCTGCAGTGTGAGCTAACCGGGAGCTAAGGAGGAGAATAAACTCCCGTGGAAGAGCAGCGGTCGGTAATGCTGCAGAAACACATTAATAAACAATGAACCACGGCACTCTGGAGAAAAGCATAAGGTTGGAGAAGTCGTTATTCAATTTAATCTGGCTTCGTGAGATTAAAAGCAACACGATCATCGACCCGACGCAGTTCCCCGTTGTTGTGAGCGCCGTAATGCCGTTGGGGAGCAAATCAGCGATGTAAACGGTGACGTCATGACGCAGCAGCGGCAGCACCAGTCGGGTGCTGGGCGGTGTGAACAGAGCGGGAGCAGAAAAAGGGAAACCGGAGCTGAACCAGAAAAGCTCTAGCTCGGAGCTAGAGAGGGAAAAGCGCTGGTGTGAAAGCCGCATCAGTTATCTATGCTATTTTCTTCCTTTTACTTTGTATTTAATTTTATCCTATAATTTGACCAATGTTATTTCATTCTGATTGCGCTATAATTTTCTCTGTCATGGCCGTAATGATAAATGACTGAATTGTCAATATGGGCAGCATTTGAGTTACAAGTAGTTAACTCTTAAACCGGTAAAGTCATTTAACATTTGAGAGCCAAAAAAATTGTTTATTCCAGATCACATAAATCACAGGCTTTACTGATGATGGTTGTGATTATGAGGGCTGAATCCATGCTGAAGTTTTGTCATGTGTAAAGTAAACGTCTTTCAATTTAATTTTCGTTAGTGATATTTTTCTATTCTTATGAGTTATGTATGGAGTTTTTATTTAACATGTTGATGGGCAACATTCAAACATCAGATGGGTCAGTTTTTTGGATTTCACATTTTTGCAAATATTAGTAATATTATCTTTTCATTTGAAAGAGTAGTGATTTTGTGAATAGAAACTTGATTTATGGTCATTAAATAGGGCCGTAAACATTTGAATTTGACAAAAAAAAACATTCTTAACTGGGGATGCTGAAAAAATGCACTTTAAAAACTCACTGAAGCTTTCCTTCTTTCTTTTTGTTGCACTACCATAGATGATTTTATCTCAGTGGTTAAAAATATTTTCTGACACTGTAATCCTTTTACAGCAGCACAACAAACAATTTGCAGCAGTAAGGGACCTCCTTCATTAGTACTGTACGCAGTCAATTCAAAATGTATAAAACAAAGTTGTAATATTTAAAGAATGATCAAATGTTCAACTTTCATAGCAGATTACATACAGCATCGGATCCTGCACACACATTGTATTTACATTTGTTGAATGGAAGAAGCTGTATAGAGAGGCGAAGTCCCTCCCCTTCCGGGAGCCTCCATGGGACCCCGGAAGCGGAATACATTGAAGTCAATGGAGAGAGAAAGGTTATCTTTTGATCCCGTTTGAATTGTGCCACGAATGACACATATGATGTTTGTCAATTTAAAAGAACATTTTACAAGTCAAAAAAAATAAAAATGTGTTGTAAAACTGTGAATTTACACATTTTTTTGTGTGAAACCGCTCAGTGAACTACAGGTCTCTGTCTCGCACAATACGCGTCACCATCACAAAGACGGCCGTCTACCAACAGCGAGAGGAGACATACAACCCACTGGCCAGAGACATCGCCAACTGTCAACTGGGGGGTTGTAAACGGGGGTGAAGGCTTTTGTGCAGGCCTATCGGGTGACAGTGTTTCGAGTCTGGTCTCTTTGTGAGTGAGTCGGGTGTTTTGGGAGCATCACC